CGTACGTATATGCAATCTCACGTTGCGAACGCGCGTTCAGGGAATGGGATAGATCTTGTTTGCCTGCGTGTCAACGATACCTATTATTGTCGATCCTTATTTGCATGGTCAATAACGTGAGGAAATCTGCTGCCGACCCCTTTCCGCTCAGAAATTGCGGAGAGGATTTACGCTATATTCGATGTCAAGAGGACCATCGTCGACTACCGAGGGAGCTTTTCAGGGGTGCATCGATAAATCAGGGGCTCACGACACAACTGTGTATCGCCATCCCAGTTCGTAATAGCGCACGAATCTGCCTTGAGAGAGAGAGAGAGACATTGATACAAAATTTCGCGGCACGCAATTCCGTAAGCAGCGGAATGCAATTCTCGCGGCTTTCATTTCCTCCTTCATATGATGGCTCGCGTGAAATGCGATAACATGGTCAAGGGCCTTGGTAAATTGAGTTTGAATTAACAATTATAGCCGCCGTGCAAATACGAGTACACACGGAAAAAAATGAGTTTGCAATAGTAGCTAAATTCCAGTAGCTGAATCAAGCTTAGCTGTAAGAGCTAACACCTTAGTATCGTAGCTAAACTTTGGCTATTATAGGAAAAAGTAATTAGCTGTCACGTAAAAATTTATTAGCTGAAATAGAAAACGTAATTTAGCACAAGCGGCTAAAAAGTAGCTAATAAGCTAAGTAGCTAAAGTAGATAATTCAGCTAAGCGACATTTGATCTGTTGTAGCAAAAATTTGTTGCTATAGTAGCTAAGTTTAAATAGCGAATAAATTTAGCTGGGACAGCAACAACATTAGCTGTCCCTAGAATAGCGACACATCTTAGCTGTCACAGCTAAGTTTTAGCTCCAGTTGCTAATCCTTTTTTTCCGTGCAATTATATTGTGGTAAGCTAAATATTTCTTCCAAGATAATAACTGACGCATTTGTACGTTGCGATATAATATTTTCTAATTTAACAGAGAAAGAGAAAATGTGTGTGAAATTACATTATGTATTACATATACATATATGTATATATGTGTAAATATATTAATACAATTTATAATATATAAAACAATGAATTTTTTATTATAATATACACATCACATTTATATTATACTATTGTTTATTACTTTAAAATTATTCTTTAAGTCTAATGTAAACAAACGTAATAATTCTTCTAAAAAATAACTTTTCTTTTTTTATTAAAAGAATTAATTGTCTCAAATTATTAGATATTTGTATAAGAAGAAGGGATTTTTAATTACAGACATAATGCAAATACGAATCCGGTCCTGGCTCGAATAAGTCTCTTAATCGTTGTAATTAGATTAGTCGCTCTGCCATCTGGTACTTAATTACACTGCAATTAAATCAACTTCTATTACTGTAGAGTCTACCATTGAAATTACCTTGATTTCTTCTGACTTCTGCTTTTATTAGCATTAAAACAATGTCGTGCGATTTATTATGTTTTGTGACAAATTGCAAACTGCTAGAAAAAATAACATATTTGAAATCGAATAAGTTATACAAATAATAAGCTCTAAATAAATTATAGTTTTAAAGCCTATAGTGCGAGGCAATTTTCATAATCTTATATTGAAAAGTATTTGTAAATAACTTATTCTTTATATGTATATAACTGAAACTTAAATATTTTACAAATTTAAATCTGCAAATTTGCATTTAAAATTTATATGTATTAAATTTATTATTATAATAGAGGTGAAACAACCGCGTTACACTTTTCTCGTTTACATTACAGCTTGGCAGCGCTGCAACAAATTTAAATTTGCCAAGCAAGTTTCGAGAAGCACAATATTGATAAGCCGTGGCGCTATATTTATACGTGTCAACGCTCTACGTGACGTTGTATTGTGCGGGTTGCAAGCCATCGTAAATAGGTCATAAGATGCATAAGTTTCTAGTGCACTTCAAAAAAGAATTGCTGATAGAAATTGCTGAATCTGCCGATAGTTTTAGGGTTACTTTCTTCTATCTTAAGACAAGTAATATATCTTCAGATAATAATTGTACAATTTAGCATTTATAATATTTAATATTTCTATGCCAAGATTACATCGACATATATGGCGTATTGCAGTCGTACATATCTGCAGGGATACAGCATACAAAGGGTTCTCGTATTTTGTGATTGTTCGCCGTATTTCATTGTTTCTTATCGTGACGTTCTAACTATGAAATACGTCACCCGGGAGAATCGCTCTTGCTTATCGTTCTCTCTCTTCGAGAACTACATGGTATGCAAGGACGTTAATTACGTCTGTACCGGCAAGTTGTAATTCAGTGCAGAGGCAAAATTTCATCGTTTCGTTTAAACAGAAATTTTCACATATATTACTATACAATCTTTTACGTATTTATTAACAAAATATAAGAAACCGATTTTTAATTTCTTCAACAGTACATAATGATAGCATATATATAGCAAAATTATACCAAATTTCGTTTTACATTGTAATTAATTTACAATCAGAATCTTCAATTAATCTTTGACACACGCAGCAACGAATTTTATGCCAAGTGTATACCTAACGGTTTAATTATGAATTTCAATCGAGCGAGAGAAGGTAATTACGACGAGACAAAAAAGTCGCCTGTATCCGAGCTTAACACCTGGATAATTATAATACACCGGTCCAATCGATATAGTAATTATAACACGGACAGGCAGAAAAATATTAGTTTAACAATCTGTATTAGATTAATAGATAAAAATTGTTACATTACTGTCAATAATAATAGATTCTTAAACTTTGAAACTACAATACATTATACAACAGAATTTAAATGTATGTATAATTACTCAATTTATGTAAAATTTCACATACGTAAAAGATGCGTTTTATTCCGTTTAAACGATTATAATATAATTGTGGCTAAAATTGAGATTTGAACTAAAACGTTCTTTTCTTCTCCGTTTCCTGTAATAATATTACCGTAATTTTCAACCCTTTGACTGTTTCACGATTTGGTGCCACATTATTATTTAGTGTCTAATTTTCACATAAAATAAATGTAATTTGGTATTCCTGGAATTTAATGTTTTCCAAGATATCTGTGGATGTGTGTGTGTGTATTTAAACTAGGACTGACTCGCGGTGCCATAGCCTCAAATAGGTGGTATCCAATTAGATACGCATGGCAGTCAAAATGCTGATGGTTTTGATGAGTGTATAAATAAATGAATTTGAACCCTGAACTTTTCATCAAATTCAATTGCAAAAGCAAATTTTGTTCTCAAATTTGATAACTCTCATATCAAGGAAGAAATGATCTGTGTGTGCTTCCAATTAGTTCTGTCTCCTTTAATTATCTCACCGAAATATTTCGCGTATAATGAAATCCATTTCACTAATTCTATGTTGCTGGTAATGCAATTTTAGAAGATTGCCCAGGAATAAACGATCTATCTTCTTCAAAAATCTCGATTTTAGCCACAATTATATATATTACAATCGCTTATTCTTAGCAAGACATAATATCAACACAGTAATCTTTTGGAAAATCTATTAGGGACTTTAACGAGTAAAATATTTTTCAGAAGCTTTTCAAACAGAATGCTTTTACGAAATTATTCTCTTTTAAGCGATTTAGTTGCGTCATGCTGTAAAATTCAATGGGATTGTCGAGAAAGCAATTTGGATGAATCAATTACACGAGCATAAACAGAATTATGAAAAAACCGGATAATTATTAATGAACTTGATTGAATTTAAAGCGAAGGACAAAGGAAAATTATTCGTTCCTGACCGCGACACTTCTTCGCGTCGGGCTATCAATGGAACTGGCAGAATGTTGTAATCACGCGAGGGACAAGAGGAACATATCGGGCGAGCCGAAACTGTTGCTAATCGCCGCCGAAATCTCGAATTAATGGCACGAAAGCTGCGCGCGGAATTTGGGATTGGTGGTGCACAACGCCTAACTCGGCAAAAACGTTCGCCGTCTCGTCCAACGTTCGCATACACATCGAAACGATAAATGCTACTGCGCTCTGGTGCATACGCCTCGATACGTTTTATGCAAATATCGCAGCTGCGCTGCTATATAGAGTTATCGGTAAATTCACGCGTGTCACTGCGCGAATCGCAAATCGGCGTCGTCGGAATAAGTTCACGCGAGAGTCGCCATTAAATTTTATTGGATACGCATCTTGCAAAAATAAAAATTTTAACGTTTTGGTGCTTGTTAAAATATAAATATTAGTTGTTGCTGAAGAAGCTATTGCTAGATATTTGTAAAAAAAAATGATACATATTAATCAAACTTAAATTACATTTTATAATTTAACAAGAATACTAATTTTACATTTAATCTTATTATTTAACAGAAAAGTTTCATAATGTAGGATAAATATATTATACGTAATAATAAATATCTTTATTGCACACGTGCAATTACTTTATTGCATGTATAACTTTGGTCTTAACAAGACGGTTGTGCTCAGTTATTATTACAAAAGAAAAAGAAGATAATAATAAAAATAAATATACACGCGCAAAAGGTAAGATGTGAATAATATTGCAAGAGACATAAAACACCAAAGACAAAGATAAAATACGGATATAACAAGAATTTATGTGAAAAGATAAAATGCAGGATAAAACCGTGAAATTCGATTAATCGAGTGGCAACGTGTTAAAATATTTGATTGCAGTAGAAGAAGACAGCACGGAATTTCATGGATCGACGTAGCGGACAGGATAATAAGATCCGATAACGAGTTTCAGAAAATTAATTAAAAAAGAAAATAAAAAGTTAAATGTAACAATGCGCGCGGAGAAAAGGGATGAGACTTGGTCCTAAACTAACTTGCGTCCGATTATCCGACACGTCGCATTTTGAGAAGTGCTTAATGAAGTATTCGGCACAAATCAATAGTCAACCCCTTACGCGATTAGACCTAAAACTTTCCTATTTTCCACCGGGAAACTCGATAGAGAAACCGAAGCGCCATCCCCGTCTATTGATCGGTCACTGACTCCGCTCAACATGGCGGCGGGGGTGGTATTCGCGCTCAGCCTGATCCTCGTCGTCGGCCACCTTCAGGAAGGGCCAGGATCCCTCGCCAAGACCTTCACATTCCCGGAATACCCGTACAAGGAGACCACCAAGAACGTAAGTCGTCCATACGGTTCATCAAAGTCCTCTTTCACGAGTGGTACGTGCTGAACGCTGATACAGGTTATGGGGAGCAACCCACAACCCACATTTAAGGGTGGCAGTTTTACGATGCTAGGAACGGTAGCATAACGCTAAGCCGGATTGGTGCACCAATTTTTGAGCCAAACAGTAAGAGCTATCTTCTCTGCACCCGTCTCTGCACGTGGATCACTAATTAGTCATAAAACACCTTCAATTTAATCTGCGCAAATAAAAAAATTAATAATTATATTGGAAGAATTCAAATTATTATAAAAAGCTATTGTATCACCGTGTCTGAAAAAGAGATGTATAAATTCAAAAGTGTGACAAACACTCCGATAACTATCATTTACGAGTGTTTACGACCAAGGAAGTAAAATCGGAACAAGGTAGCAATTTAGTGAACGATCGATTTGACATTAATTAAAGAGAAATTTGGCTAAAGGTCAAAGTATATATACGAATGCACTTGAATGTAACTATACGTGCGAAATTGCATTTGGAACAACGACGCAAGCTCATCGTCGCGATTCGATATAGCTACCAAAGAATTCTCTTTTGCCAAGCTTGACAAGCGGAGGGTAGATTACAAAAATTACATTTAAAATTGTTTTGCAAAAAGACTAGAACACAAAAATACGCGTGTTGCGTATCGCAAAAAGATCCGTCGAAAATGTATATAGTTCTGTATAGTTAAAAATAATTCGCTCGCGATATACTTTTAGGGGAAAAAACGATGGAAAATTTTATCTGAGAAACTTTTTGACGAATTTAATTTTACGGGCAATCTATTATTAGCATCTGAAATACGCAGTTTACTACCAAAAACATCTTACGATTGTATTTTCCAGGAAGTGAAATAAAAGAACGTTACGTATGTCTTACTCTGTATTACGCTCGGCAAAAATATTTTCCTTCAAAGATCTCTCGCAGTAATACTTTTATGTGCGCGGAGTTGTTCGCGAAGGATAGTAAAAGCGCATACATGTACCACGCTGGAAGTCGCATTGGCTCTAATTGGGGTTAATCTTTCGACATGCACAAATCAATTGTTGCATTCCGCTTTATCCCGCCGCGGCGCGGAATGCAAAGCGTCATTTTATCAATACCGCATAAATTGACGGAATAATTTTCTCGTGTTCAAAAAAAAATATTAATAAATGTTCGCATTTCCGAATTTATAATCATAAAATCCATTTCCAACGTTTTATGCTAAATTAACGCACGCGATTTATTATTTCAGCGAAATATGAAAGATGGAAAATTCGACAGCGATTCATATTCGATATTGCTATATATTAAAACCTTTTTGCATTTAAACATTTATAACAATTAGAAGATAAATTAAGCCAATATTGTAATTGGAATAATCGGTAAATTCTGTCGTAGGAGGCCCTCTTCAGACAATTCGAGCAGGATTGCGAGGAGAGCGGTGCTTGCAAGATGCTATCGCATAGGAGCGACGGCGTCGCCAAAACACGATGCATCCGGGAATGCGTGTCGCCGTCCTGTTACAAGGAGATCTACTTATTCGATCAGGTACAGGTATATGCGCGGAATACCAATTCCGTTAATTGCGTTTGGTTACTATTGGTCGCTTTACATGCTATACATTTAGTACATATCCGGTATACAGTTTCACTCGTGTGGACTGCATTTTAATGAACAATGAACCCGTTTCAGCTGGAGGAAGGCGAGATTGATGTGAGATTAATATCCTTCAAGGGTTGCTTCATGCAGCGAAACGGTCGACCACGGAAGTAAGAATATTCGCGCGAGAAGAGACGCAGGAAAAACAAATTTCTCGTGAGACGAGCGATTAACGGACGAGCCACTCTTTAATGGGATGACTATAATCGTGCAACAAAGAACACGCGCTGCGAGTAATAGTCCGCCATTCTGAGAAACGCTTCTTGCTTAGACTTTGCCCATCCCGGAAGGATTAAATTGATGACATAATGTGATCGCTGCATGATATGCATGACGGAACGTTTGGTTCGGAAAATCACAAAACTAAAATGAAGACGAAAATGCATATCATGCACAAAGATAAGTTAAATAATGCATATCGTGCAGTCCCGTACATGGAGATGAAGCGAATTATCCGAGTAATTAAGTCCGAGAACAATCTTTTTCTACGTTTTGTACGCACAGTATAATAATACTATAATGCACAAAGTAAACTAATAAAATTGTTGGCTACACTAGTGATTTCAATCACCTTATCGCTTTTATACATATTGCTATATCTATTAAAAAAGAAACCTTCTTCGAATAATATAATTCAGTATACGATTACATGCATATTACTCTAATAACGCAATTTTATTATATAGCGAGTGAGGAATAGCATTTAAAACTATTGTACACATTTTATCTTTGAAGGAAAAAACTGAAAATGACCAAATTTTTATAGAAAGTAAATTACGTTCGTTAAGTAGAAAATTTAGTATCTCGAAAATAAAGCATGTTTCACACAACTTCTTCCTTAATATAAAATACTTATACTGTGATATGTAACATAATTTACAAACTTGTTATTATTCACTCAATTGTTACAATTAAAACAAAAATATAAAAATGTAAAAAATATATAAGAGATAATGTATAATGTTGAGTAATTTTGTAAAATGCATAATTTGTTGTATGATTTTCACAACGATATTTATTTAGCGTGCGTTGCAAATCCGGCAAGCATCTTTCAAACTTTTATTATTAACTATTACAGAATATTCTTTCAAATAACTCCAAAACTTTATTTAAAAAGTGTCCTACACAGCGATCTAAAGTTCCATGGTACACCGCGCAACTTGCCTTGCATTAACGAAGCCACGTAATAGTGACAAAATTGACAAAGTATGCATTTAAAACCTTAAATTATTTTGTCAAATAATTTATTAAATATATAAAAAGAATATTGCTTTTTGATGACTTTTCTAAATTGAGATATTGTAATTTTTAAACGTATAATGATGGTAGTTTTATGCTTCAGATTTCTGTAAATTTTCCTGTAAAATTCGTAATTTATTGCCTATCCCCGCAGGGTTCGCAATCTACTACCAATGCTATCCTTCTCCTCTCACTTTAACCCTTTGAACCAACGGCTTAACGTCTCTTTCCGAAAGACGGAGCCCAGTTTTCTCCGCACAAGAGCCTATCTTGCACGGAGGGGCGCAGCTACCGGAAGAAACATTTCCATGCTTCATGGCTCTAGTGGACTCAAACCTGGTTCCTCAGATTACGAGTCTGGCGCTCTACCACTAGACCACACTGCCGCCCTTGCTTCACATTTTTTTACTTTGAGATTTTGAGATAAAATTAATTATATTTCTATAATTAATAATATCTCACAAACTATACTCTATCCAAAATAAATGATTTCATACTCATTGGAAGCACTAGAATCTTAACTTTCAATTGAAACCAAGAGATCAACTTACTA